CAGCAGGACTTGGGTGCCAGCAGAAAGAGTGAGGATGGTAGAAGGGACAGAGATGACTCCACGCTTATAGCAGGGAACACTAAGCAGATAGTGCCATTATATCACACTGGAAGAGAAAGGGGTAGCGAGAAAAGAGGGGCAGATGAAAAGGGCCACTTTGGACAGGCTGAATTTGAGGTAAGTGAGATACTGCAAGATAGTCATCCAGGACCCAGCTGGAATTGCTACTTTAGTACTCAGGAAGACTCTAGTCACCCGTATAAATGGTACCTGAGGTCCTAAGAATAGATGAGGTTCACCAGAGAGCATGCACACAGCAGAGGCCAATACTGATCTTCCTTACAGCAGTGCCATGGCCTGGGAAACGTCCCCAAGGCTGTCAAGTAGCGTGACTCTGACAAAATAGCTTTTCCTCTCTGAGCTTCAAGGGGGGAACAAAGAGGGTTGGACAAGCTCTCTAAGGGCCTTTTCTCCTTCAGCCACTCAAGGTTGATGGTACACCTGCTTGGGGCCAGGAAGGATGCTTGGTGCTGAGCAGACACCTGGCATAACAAGCAAGCCCCTGCCTTCTACGGGGAAAGGCAGACACATAAATAAGGCCTCTCCACTCGAGTGATTAATGGCTATCATAAAGGCTAGAGCACAATGCAGCACGAGGGAGTCCTGGGTGGAAGTGCCTATCTGGGGGAATTCCAGCAAGGCCTTCAGAGATGCAATTTGATCTTGGTCTTGAAGAACTAGTATAAACAAATACCAAGCAGAGGCAAGGTTACAGGCAAACATACAAGCAAGGGTATGCATGTGAAATGCCTGGCAAAAGGTTTGGCTCCTTGAACCTGCATGAAGCGGGCAAGTGGGGCTTCAAGAAGGCTGGGGGAACCAGCAGTTAGAGTAATGGCTATGTCGCTGGACTCCCATGTAGTCGACCGCGGTTCGTGTCCGGACCCGGTGGCTTAAAAAACTCACGCCGGGCACATGTGCATGCGTGCCCAAGATCCCGAGAGGAGAATGGAGGAGAAGGGATTGCAGCGTGACCATCCCCCCTGGGGGGTGATTTCTCGCTTTTTGTCTCTATGTCTCTCTCTCTGTCTGTCTGTCTCCCTCTGTCTGTCTGGCGAGCGCATGCGCCCTACAGTGAAAATCTCTCAAAAATAAATAAATAAATAAATAAAAGAAGAAGAAGGCTGGGCCAGGCTGGGTAGGCTTTTCACTGACCTGCTAAGGAGTTTACCATTTGCCAGAGTAGATAACAAGGAACTAATGGGGCTTCAGGACCACCTCAAACACAGAGCTGTATCAGAGAGCTGAGGGGAATGGAAAGCAACACCTTAACTCCCCTAGCAGCTGGTATTTATTTATTTTTTTTAATAATTATTTTATTTAATTTTATTCACAAGTATTATTATTATTCTAACTTGACCAGAAAGATACAGAGAAAGAGAGAGAGGGAAAGTGAGAAAACAAGTTACGAGGTCCAGGACTTGAACTGTGGTCAGCCATGTGGAAATCCAGCACCTCAATCACCACATCACCTGCCAGCCCCACAGCTGGTATTTATAAGCCCTTTGTTCTCATTATCTGACTTGACAGACAGTAGAGGACATTATAAGGCTCTTCTCCAACATGCAAAAATTTTAAAGCTTTTCTTAAATAGTAACATAGGGGCCAGCAGGTGGCATGGTAGCTGAGGTGCTGGATTCCCATATGGTCAACTACAGTTCAAGTCCTGGGCCTGGTGGCTTAAAACTCACACAGGGTGCATTCACATGTGTGCTCAAAATCCCAGGAGGAGAATGGAGAAGAAAGGATTGCAGCATGGGATCCCAAGGGATCCCTGGGAGGTATTCTTCACTTTCCCTCTCACTCTCTCTCTCTGTGTCTCTCCAGTGAGCATACATGCCCTATGGCAAAAACCTTTTAAAAAATAATAAAAAACATAATACAGAAAGTAAAAAATCTTTAATAAACCATGTGCGAAGAAATTTACACCACAAGAAAAGTAAGGAGCCTCCACATTCAAAGATGAACAATGCAAGGCGTGATATTGGTTATAATGACCCTGATTATGGTGAGGACAGCCTGTGTGGGGGGGACGTCAAAAAATGGATGGAAATGGTATGCATTTATTTGGTGCAAAAAAGCTGAAATCCGTGCTTTTTTGTAATATATATTTTCTACACACTGCAGCCCCCTCACCCATTGGTACTTCCAAACTGCACAAGGTGCTTTCTCTATAGAGGCAGCCTCATCGAATCTTCACGACCCTCGTGCGTGGCAGCTTACACGGCTACCTCGGCACAAGCTAGGTGTCCAAAGACAAGCACTCACTACGTTGCGGAGGTGGAATTCAGACTCTGGTGTGGGTAAATGTCAAAGACTTGGCTCTTTATTTCTGCCCCGCCCTGACTCCCGTGGATACGAATAGTGCCAAGGCAGAGATGCAGAGAGTGAGTGCATTGAGGCTTCAGAGGAGGAAGAGACTGCTTCTACCTGAGGGCTCCGAGAGTCACAAAGACTTAATGAAAAAAAAGCAAAAGATGGCAGCAGCCAAATACTGAGGTGGGCACAGCAAGCCACCGAAAACCGGAGCAGAGCTACCAGTCAGAGGCCTCTAGTTCAAAGTGAAAACCTGAATCAGAGGTGCTAACAGCAAGTGGTGAAACAGGCACATGAGAAGGGGAAATAACGATGTAGAGTACCCCAAGAACTAGCCTCCCTCATCTCAGTTAGAAGGCCTCCGGACCCCTACCTCAGGGCCATCAACTGTCCCGGGACTCTCAAAGCATGTTCCACTGGTCACGGACTTCAAAGACATGAGCTTCAAAACACCTGGGATGCTTGCAAAAACACGGACTTCTGGGTTGCATCTGCAAACCAAGTGGAACCCTAGAACGTGTCTCTCAGCAGACTCCTCGGGCTAACCTACACTCAGTCAAGTCTTGGAGCCTTTGCGAAGTCACCCATTATTTATTAGGGCTGAGATGAAAGTGGTTCAAGCCAAGCTGAAGAGCTGACACAGGACAGTTACCTGCTAATGAAATGCGTGACTGGGGAGTGGGAGGAAAAGGGGGGAAGGTGGGGGAAATTGTCTACGTTATGCAGCTAAACACTTCTTCTTTATAGATGAAATAAAGATGAAATGAACATCAAAGGAACTCTAAAGGAAAGTGAGATTTTCAAAGGCAGAGAAGCACAGGAAGGGGGGAGGCCATTGCCTTGGGGGAGAGGGGTGTGCACTTGGTGGCGGTGTCTGGACTCCCAGGGCGTCTCCTGTTCTTAGCTATCCTTAGCTGCTTCCTGAATAGAACCTCACGGTGAAGATACTCAGCAAACGGAAGACCCCAACCCCAGCCACCCCCAACTCCTCCAGCAGAGAGAAGCAATGAGCCCAGGCCATGATCGGGATCCTCAGTGCTCGGAAAACAGCTCCGATAATAAAACCGAACCTCACCAACAGCAGCATCCATGTTCCCCAGAAAAATGTACGTGACCCAAGAAGAAAAGTACCTGCGGTTCTCCTCTGGTTAGGATCTTTAGATGATTCGTCACTCTTTTTGATTTCTTGCTAATTGAATGAATATTCAGTTTAGACAATTTGTCTTTAAGTGATTCATCCTCGTCATTCTTCCTGTATTTGAGAACTGAAGGAAGAATGCAATACCATGTGAGATGGTGTGCAGCGCAAAGCGCGACAGTTTCCGAGGCCAGGGCTCAGGAATAAAAGTCTACCTGATTCCTGAGCACCTGCTGTAGATGCCACATGAGCCAGCACCCGGCCCATGCCCAGTCACGTCTGGGCACCACCCGCTGACCTTCAGAAACACAGCCATTTGCAGCCTTGAGGACAGGAGTCCCACCTTCCTCCCACGCCTAAGGCCCAGGGTTTGTTTTCTACCCCACATTTTAGAAATCCCTGATACTAGAAAGTACTTCCTCTCTTGTCCCTAATGTATCTGTGATCTGGGCCTCTGGAACAGGGAATCAGGACCTAACTGGTGAAAAGACAGCTGCACCGAACCTAAGACCTCAAGTCCTTGGGCAACTCTCCACTTGGGGTGAGGTTTGGGACAAGCTGGGTGACCACTCTGAGCTTTATTTAAGTTTTCAATCCTTTTGCCTCTTGCATCATTGAAAATGTTAAGTGCTCCTAGCATTCAGAGTTGGTAAGGGTGCCGGAAGATGGGCAATTCTGTGCAGTCTTGATGAGGGAGGATTAAACCAGCACAGTGTCTGTACAAAACAACTTTGCAGAATTTGACAGGCATGAAAATATTCATAATCTAGGACCAGGAAGTGCATGCAGAGAAATCTGCTTTGCATCGCCAAGCATACAGAGTTTGGTTTGGTCCAGGTTATTTACTAATGGAAAGGTAACAGAAGCAATCAAGTGTACGTTATACTGCTGAATGGAGGAGTTTGGAACCAGTAAAAAGAGGTCGCTATTAACGGGAGGGTGTACACGATATATTAAGTTAAAAAAAAAAAAAAAGACAAACCGTAGTGCCATACATGTTGCAAAAAGGAAGGGAAGAAAGAAAAGAGAGGGAGGGTGAGAATAAAATATTGTGTTGTCCGAAAGTCATGACATATTTTCCCATGCAAAAATGCATCATGACTTTTCCGAAAAATAAATCTGAAAAATCTTGATAAAATGTTAGCTATGCAAGCCAAAATTATAGGAGTGAAAATTTTTACCTTTTTAACTTTTCAATAGTTTAAGCAAACAGAAAAGCATGAAGAATAATAGAAAACATTTTGCCTTCTTTCTAATGTTTTCATTTTAAAAATTACTTAACAGGGACCAGCAGATGGTGTAATGGTTACATTACTGGACTCCCACATGCTCGATAGTGGTTTGAGTCCTTGACCCAGAAGATTCAAACTCATACTGGGAGCATGTGCATGCATGCCCCAAATCCTAATAGAATGGAGGAGAAAAGATTGCAACGTGGCCATCCCACCTGGAGGGTGATTTCTCCCTTTTTCTCTGTCTCTCTGTGTCTCTCCAGAGAGTGCAATACACAGGATTATTTTAATGTTTCAAGCAATACAAATGGTGTCATGTGCACATTTTCTTTTGTTACTTGCTAATTTTCATTTTTAAAACTCAAGAGTGTATTTTTGAGATGAGTTCAATTAATACTCGATTATTTCATTAATTTTTATCTTATCACGGTATTGCAGCATCTGATACAATTTATTTGTCCATTACCTGGCTAAGTATGTGAGCTTTTCCGTTTTTTTTTGTTTTTTTTTTTGCTTTTGCATTTATGAACAATGTTAGTTGCTAGTAAACATGTCTTTGAACACCTGGGCAAATTGCTCTCCAGAACATCCCTGGAAATGAATCTTCTGGGTCTCTGGGTGTGCCTCTTCCTCTTTACTGGCTGGGGCTACTGCCACGTGTCCTTCTCCTGGTTCAGCCCCCACCACAGGAGGCCTGTGTGCTAGCTATCTTCAGTCTAGTGGTCAAGGGGATTGAGTTCAGGGCTGCTTAATTTAAGAAATTATCCATCTTTAGCGCCTCCTTGAATCCAGATGTTAAGGCAAAGCCACATCCTCCTCCCCGGTGTCTACCTCTAGATTTCAAAGGGCGTGTTTGTCGCGACTGCCGTACCTGCAATAGCTAGCGCACCCCAATGCCCAGAAGCTTAAACAGAAGGCTCCAATCGCGGAAAGGAGCTGATTCGCTCCGTCTTTTCTTACCTAGATCTTTCCTTCTCTTAAGTTCGTTGATGTTCACGTTGATGTCCTTCACGGCAGCGAAGGCGTCCTCCAGCGCTCGGTAATCCGGGTGGGAAGGGGGCGTGGAGTTCCGCAGCTCGCACAGGAGCAGTGGGTACTTCATCACCCGCTGAATGGGCTTGATCATCAGCGAGCCCATGTCCAGGAGGTTAGACTTGCCTCTACAGCAGGGAGAGACCGTGTCAGCTTCACAAACATTTGCTTTACTAACTCCTTTTCGTCTGTGTGACTTTTTCTTATGATTACTCTCGAAACCTTTTTCTCTGCTTGGCTGTACAAAATTTCTGAATGAAAGCAAGGGCAAAAATGACAGAAAGCAGCAAGGTGAAAGACCCTATATCTGAACAAAAGCCTAAAAGAACAGAAACCAGGGCCTCTGTCCACTGAGAGACTGTGATTTCATCCATGTTTCACATACGGTGTTTCGTTAATAATAGTTTTTAGAATGTACAGGGAAACAACTTCGGAATGTGTTTTTCCATGACAACCAAGGCAAATGCATTTTCTTGGTATTTTTGTGATTAAGCTTACTATTTAAAAATCTAAACTGAAGACTTGCAAACTATTGTCAGAAGAAGGCGTGGTCCTCTTTCTTTTACCAAACGGAGAAGTCGCATTTTCAACATGCCCGAGTTTCTACTACACCCCCTTCCTAAAGCTTTATAATAAATGCAATAGTTCTCTGATTACATTGTCATTACATTGTTACCGCGGAGACTACCCATGTGGAATTCTTGGCCAATAGATCTTCCAGTCATTCCACACAGAATTGAGCGCTCAGAACTGCCTCGTCTTCAGGAGATTCTGAGAGGAGGATGGACCCCTTCCTACTGGCCAGGCTGTTCACGGAAGGGGAGGAAGCCAGAGCTGAGTCACGCCCCACCCCCATCGTGGTTGGTCTTCTAGCCAAAGGGCAGTGATTTCTTTTTTTTTTTTTTTCTTTTCAGTTTAAAGAATCTATTTTTAATAGTAAGCATCAAGAGCAAATTCCTGATCCTTAAAATCGAGTTATTTGGTATAATCACGAGTAATCAACTTGCCCTGACTGTAACTGTAAGTTTCTCCTTCCCATGACAATTTAGGGCTATCTCCGAAGCAGTATAAACAATATCTGGCTGTTTTCTAACCAGCTGAGTTGTATTTGTTACATAATAAGGCACCTAATATCTTTCAGCTAAAAAACGCTAAATTTGAATGAAGATATTACTTCATTCAAAGTAGAATTAGAGTCCAGTTAAAATTTGTTTTGGGAGTGGGAACACCACAATTCTACTCAATTAAGAAAAACATTTTAATAGACCACAGTTTATTTTTTAACACCCATCATGCACTGAATTCATAGGGAATAGGTTCCAGAATCTCAGGCTCCTTTCCATTGGTTCTCACAAAGTGTGCTTCTCTGGGTGGAGCAGGCTGGTGCTTTAGTTGAACCCAGGTCCCTTTCTCTTTGGGTTCCTTCTTTTTCTGGTAATTTTCCTTCACACATTTTAGGAAGCTATCTCTACTCTTAGAAGGCTTAATATGTTCAATATACACATTAATTCTCTTGGCAAGAATCTTGCCCTTAACTAGTTTTTTCACAATGCCAACAGCATGCTGGGTAGCATTGTAGACTCTTCCAGTTTGGCCATGGTAACATTTGTGGGGCATTCCTCTGTGAACAGTACCATTCCCTTGACATCTACAATATCATCTTTCTTGTAGGTTTGCATGTATGTTGCCAAAGGTACAACTGCATGTTTCCTAAAAGGCCTAGAAGACCTATATCAGGTGCCTCTCCTCTAATTCCTTTATGTTGGTCATTTTGGTGAATTACTGGAAGATGATGGTTCCAGCCAAGAAGAAAACAATGATTTCTAAAATCTTTATGCAGAGACAAACACAGAGACACTAGAGATAGGAGACCACTATTCTCAAATCCTGGCAGGTGGAATTTTCATACTTAGATTTTTTTTTTGTAATAAGTGGATAATGTGGATGGAGAACAGACCACATAATTAGAGTTGAAAAGTGCATATAAAAATGTTGAACAAAAGTAGAAAATTTGCACCATTAGAAAAGGTCTGGGGGCCAGCAGATGGCGTGTGATTATGATGCTGGACTCTCACATGGCTCACCACAGATCAAATCTCAGACCCAGAGCTTGAAAATCATACCAGGTTCATGCCCAAGATCTTGGGAGGAGACTGGAGGAGAAGGGATTGCAGCATGGCCCTCTCCCCTGGGGGTGATTTCTCACTTTCCCTCTCACTGTCTCTCTTTCTGGCCAGTGCACATGCCCTAAAGCAAAAACCTCTGGGGTAAAAAGGAAGAAAGAGAAAGAAAGAGAGAGAAAGAGAAAGGAAAAGAGAGAGAGAGAGAGAGAAGGTCTGAAGGCACCTTATGGGCCATCTAACTCACTCTTCGTTTGATAAACGAGAAACAGAGGCCCTCAGACGAGCCCGTGTACATGCACACGTGTGAGGCCTGGGCACCGGTCACTCTCGCGCCCCCACACCTTGCCCTTGTCCTAGCACATGCCACTGACTGGGGTGGCCTGCTTCCCTGGTTCCCAGCACTGGCTCGGTTTCTCTGTCCCCGCTCGTCTGCAGCGCGACACACGGTATTCTCCCAATGCGTGTCTGCAGGCTAAGGACGTTGGCAATCCTCTGTACTGTTTTCATTGTAGATTGAACATTTTTTTTTTTTCAAAAACTGTACAGTGATCCTGAGTACATGTCTGAGGGATTTTATTCACATGCTGAGGAAAAAATGATAGCATACCATAGACAAAAACTAACGCCAACCAAAGAAAAACCAAAATCAATGCGAAAGGTTTGTGAGAGACTAAGAATCCCCTCTGCTGAGCTAGTTTAGCTTTGTCTTGTGCTTCACCCACTTGCATGAAATCCATTAGTGAAGGGAGGGAGGGGTAAGGAGAAAGGGCGGCAAACAGGGGAGGGGAGAGAGGAGCTGAGAACAGGGAGGGGCCAGGCATGGAGCATTGACTTTCAAGGGAAGTGGTGAAATGAATGAAAAAAATGTAAGCTATTATGAGTACTGAAAAAATAACTCAAAAATACCTCTTCTAACCAATGACGTACCAGAGCAGAATCTTTGAATATGGAAGGCAGCACTTTGTTCTGCATCTTAAGCAGAGATGCTTCAGCAATATAGCTGTTTAGCCACCTTAGAAATAATTTCCTTAAATAAGAAGTGAGTCAGGGGCATGGAAACTGTTAGCTTGGTTATGGATATGAATATAATCAGAATTTCTTCTAAGTTTTTATTTTGATTATCACCAAACATTAAGGTATTTCATTCTTTTTTTAAATCATTGAAAATACTGTTAAAAAGAAATATAATCAAACATTCCAGTCAAAGAAAATCCAACTGTAATAAGATGACTCACTATTGTCCTTTTTTTTTTTAAATTTAAAAAAGTTGTATTTTCAAGGGTAGTCACTTTGTTGTTGTTAAGGTTTTTGCCATAGTGCATGTGCACTCACAGGAGAGAGAGACAGAGAGAGGGAACGTGAGAAATTGCCCCACAGGGAGGGTGGCATGCCACAATCCCTTCTCCTCCATTCTCTGCCAGGGATTTTGGGCATCCAGGCATACATGCATCCCTGGCATGACTTTCAAGGTGCTGGGTCTGGGATTCAAACCATGGTCAGCCATGTGGGAATCCAGCACCTTAACCACCACACCACCTGCTGGCTCTGATTAGGCTTGTATTGTTAAGCTGCCCTCCTTTTCCTGTTATGAGATCTGTCAGAAAACCCGTTTAGGACCTTTCGTTGTTCCCAAATCTCATTAACTCCTTCCTCTACCACTCTTTGGCAATAAGGTTCTGTTCTCTCTCTTTTATGTTTTAAATGACAATAATGCCATATGTCAATGGTTATTGTTTCTCTTAAAGCATTGTAAATGCAAGTACTAATGGTCTTTCTGGAATATGAGCAATCTCTGAGACACTTTTGTCTTCTGACCGACACTCTGGGTGGCTGCTCACTGATGGGCAGGATGTTCTGGTCTCGCCGCCACGCAGACAAGAAACACGGGAGAAAAGATGGAGGCTGTGGTGTAAGACAGCACCAGAGATGGAGTTCTGACACCCGGGGAGGCAGGGGAGGCCTCTGTGTGACAGAACTCGTCTCAGCCAGGAAGTCACTTCCACCTCCTCCCCGTTATAATCCATCGTGTGACAGCCCTTGTACTCATCGGCTGAACACTGAGTTAGTTATTGAGGTGGAATTCCGTCCCACTGTCCTCTGCTTCCTCACAAACGCTTTAGCAAGTATTTCGTGCTGTAAGTAGCTGCTCACATATGACTGCAAATTATTGCTGGGCCTTCACAAAGTCAAGTAAACACATCGGGCTTTGTTTACGTAGCACCCAGTTTTGTTGCAAAAGAGTTTCACATCAAACACAAGAAAAAACCTGAGCAATGAAAATAAAAATGACATTTAAACAAGGTTAAGAATTATGGGGAAATACCAAAAAAAATCAAATATTCAACATGAGGCACATCTATATTTCTTAATACAATTTTCTTAAGAGAAGCAAAAATAATCATGTAACAATTCACCATATTTCTTGGAATTTCCTCTGGTTCATGCCACAAGCCTCCTAATTTTAACAGTTATTTTATAGTAGCCACAACTATGTATACTATTACTGAATTTTAAAATGTTATTATCTCTCAATAACACTCTAAGTCTATGTTATTTATTTATTTTTCTGGTTTTTAAACAGGGTCTAGTCATGCCATGACCCTCCCGCCTCAGCCTCAGGCACACACCTCCCTGCCTGGCTTTGCAGAGTGGGCTGGGAATTGAACTCAGGCCTCCCTGTTATCCCAGCCTGATGAGCAGCAGTGCCTCACTTCTGGCCCATTACGTCCATTTTACAGGAAGTTGTATATTGCTGTACAAATAATAAACAGCATTTGCCATCATAGAAGGTAACCGTGGACACGATGCGGAGCTACTGACACATTTGTGAAGGTGTGAGAGATAAGTGCACGTGCTTGATTTGATGTAGCAGCCCAGAGAGAACGGGCAGCATGGAGACAGTGCTGATCCCGAAGCCTCTGCTCATAGATTTACTAGGTACCTGTGGAGCGGGGGAGGGAGGGAGTGGTGGTGAACTAGAAAGGGTCCAGTGAAAACTGGTTTCAATGGCCTCATTCTTAGGGTGCTACAAAAATTGCAGAGTTGTCTGGATGACTGAGAAAAAACCTTGGAAATTTAAAGAATAATAACAAAAATAAAAACTCACAAGTGTTAAAGAAAACATTCGAAGCCCTCTAAAGAGAAGAGCAATACAAAGGCATACAGCCCAGCCTGGCGGCACAGTGGCTAGCAAGCTCAACTGCAGAGCTGGAGGCCACAGAGTCGACTGTGAGTTCTGATTCCCAGTCGGCCTGAAAACATGAGGTGCGCGCGCATGTGCCCAAGATCCTGACAAGCTGCCGGGCTGGGACAGGGGGCTGCAGTGCGAGGAGCCCCTGGGAGGTGCTTCTCTTTTCTCTCTCAGTCTCTCTCGTGTGCACACACCCACTCTATCATGAATAAAATAAACAAACTTTAAAAAATTACAAAGGAGTCCAGCTGTGTGACTCGGTGGTTAAGGGAATCAGATTCCACATGGCTGAGCATGCAGTTTGAATCCTGAGTCTGGCAGTTTGAAAAACACGCTGGGACCGGGTTTGCGCCTGTGTGTCCCAAATCCTGACAGTGGAGAAGTGGGAGTAGGACTGGCAGCTTGATCACACCCACTAGGGAGTGCTTTCTGCCCCTCCCTCTGGCTCTCTCTTCCAATGCGTGTGCCCTCTGGCAAATTAAAAAAAAAGGGAGGGGTACAAAACATAAGAAAATTAAAGGACGGGTCTAGCAAGTCCCTTATGTAAGAATAGGACTCTCGGAGAGACAGAACAGAGCAAGTGTCAGGAGATAGTCTTCAGTGAAATATTGTAATTCCAGAAAAGGCCGTGAGTCAGCAGGTCGGAGAGGCTCTCGAAACACCCCACACAGCGGGTGAGACGGAGTCGGACCTTGGAACCACGCAACTTCGGACTACCAGGGACGCAGAGAAGAGCTTCCAGTCCTCCAGAGAAACCAACAACAAACAGGAACAAACGGACAACGAGGAACCGGAATAAGTTCAGAGTTTCCATAAGAACTCTGAAAGTCAGAAACCGCTGAAGACTCGCCTTTAAGTGATAAAGATGAATGGTCTCCCACTTCCAGTTCTACACTGGGTCAAACTATAAACCTAGCACGAAGGTAAAATAAAGATACCCAGATAGCAAAGTGGCTTAAAGGCTATTGAGGAATAGCGGACACTACTGAAGAATGCACGACACCACAATGAGGGGAGACAGGAGAGAGGCCAAGAGCACCTCCAGGATGAGGGAAGAGAGGCGTGAAACACAGGCGCCCAGTGCCTTCGCCCCAGCCAGGTCTGCAGGCTCTGGGGGAGGGTTAGGGAGGCGGGAAGCATAGCGCACACAGAGCTCGTCCGACCGTTTGTCCTGAGAGATGCCTTAGCTAGCTGGCCATGAGTTTGGCACTGACGAGTAACACAAGACAACTAGAGATGAAGATGGGGAGGAAGAGGAGGAGAGGGGGAAGGTAGGAAAGCGAATTGTCAGTTTACTCCAATGTTTAGCTCTGAGAAATAAAATGGGCCAGATGTTATAATTCAAGCACTGATGATCGTTCTAACAGAACTGCAATGGAACTGCATGGGCAGAATGGAGAGGTGGAAAGCGTGAGTGTGTGAGTGTGTGTGTGAGTGTGTGTGAGTGTGTGTGTGAGTGTGTGTGTGTGAGTGTGTGAGTGTGTGTGAGTGTGTGAGCGTGTGTGAGTGTGAGTGTGTGTGTGAGTGTGTGAGTGTGAGTGTGAGTGTGTGTGTGTGTGAGTGTGTGTAGTGGAGATGGAGGTAGGAAAAAGAGAGAAGTTACTGTCTGCTACACAGAAAGTCAATGCAAAATACTGAAAGAGGAAAAAACCAAGTGTATTTTTAGAGTCATGAAAATAAATACCAAAATACTCAGCTAAAAGACATGGAGGAGAAGGGACTGTGACGTGGTCATCCCCCTTGGGGATCATTTCTCACTTTCCCTCTCACTGTCTCTGTCTCTCTCTCCAGCAAGCTCATGTACCCTAAGAAAAAACCTCTCAAAGAAAAAATTAAAAGGAAACATGTAAGAATACTTAAGGAAATTCTAATTACAAAATGCACTGAGCTGAAGATAATTACCTCTAATTAAAATACTATACCATAAAGCAAGAATAATGAACACACTTTGGCATGGTACATAGGTGGACCAATGAGTGACACAGAATAGAAAGGAATCGAGAAATAGATGCACAAATGCATGGAAGTTGAACACATGGTAAACATGATATTCCTATTCAGTGGGACATGAGTTACTCAATAGCAGATATTGTGAGTTGGCTAGCCATATAGAAAAAATAGATTATTGTGCCATTTTTTATGCCTAAATCATTTTGCATAGATCAATTTTTTTAGGAGAGTTTTTTGTTATATATAAGGCTCATGCACTTGCCAGAGAGACAGAAACGAGAAATCACTCCCTGAGGGGATGTCCATGCCACACTCCCTTCTCCTCCATTCTCCTCTCCGGATTTTGGGCACACCTGCACATGCACCCAGTGTGAGTTTTAAGCCAACGGGTCTGGGACTCAAACCGTGGTCAATATAGCCATTATGACATCTGCTGGTCTCAGATAGATCAATATTTTTTTTGAGAGTTTTTGTTTTTGCGGTAGGGCAGGTGCATTCGCCAGACAGAGAGAGACAGAGAGAAAGAAAGTGAGAAATCACTCCCCAGGGGGGATGGCCACCACTTACTCTTTTCTCCATTCTCTTCTTGGGATCTTGGGCACACACACACGCACGCCCAGCGTGAGTTTAAGCTACCGGGTCCAGGACTCGAACCATGGTCAGTTACATGGGAATCCAGTGATGTAGCCATTACTGCTATCTACTGGTCCCCACATTGGTAAAAATAAAACCATGTAAGGACTTGAATAAAATACGGGACACAGTATATTTTAAAAAGCATTCCTGAGCCAGTCAGTGTCATGGTGCTTGAGGCAAGCAGCTCCCACATGGCTGACTGCACAGTTCGAGTCTTGGACTTGATGACTTGAGAAACATGCTAGGTGCATGCATGTGTGTGTACGCCCCAAACTTGGAAAGGAGGGAGCAATGGAGGGAGGGACTGAAACATGACTATCCTCATGGAAGGTGCTTCCTCACTTTCTCTTTTTTCTCCGTCTCAGGTAAGCGCATGTTTCCTCTGGCAAATTTTTAAAAAGTAATCTGGGGTCAGCAGGTGGTATGGTGGTTAGGGTGCTAGACTCCTGCATGGTTGATGGCAGTTTGAGTTCTGAACCGGATGGCTCGCTTTCTCACTTTCTCCCTCTCTCTTTGTCTCTCTGATGAGCACATGTACTCTATAGCAAATTTTTAAAATAATAATAATAAATTAAACTAAGTAAATAATTCTTTTTTAAAAAAAGTAATCTGAGAATTTCCATGCAAGACACAAAATCCACAGCAGAAAAGAACCGATACATTTATTTTATAATTTAGCTGTGCAAAACTAGACAGGTGAGCTGGGCTGGCTGGTGGCACAGCAGTAAAATGTGACTCTCTGCAAGGCCATCCTACCTGGAAGGTTCCCAGCTCATGTCTGGAGAACTCCCTGAGCAGGCTGGACACACGCTTGCCCCTGGACCGAGACTGGCTGAAGGCTATGCAGGTGGATCCAGTACAGTTAGGGCCCTGCTGGGGGTAGTTTCTATCTCTCTTTTTGTCTCTTTCTCTCTGTCTGTTTCATTCATGGGAAAAATTAATGAATGAACTTGAAAAAAAACTGCACAGGCGAAAACAAAACCAGAGACAGCCAAAAATTACATTAAAAGCCAAAGCATAAACTGTAAAAATCATTTGCAGACTCTGAGACTAGCAAAGGGTTATCCACTTGCTAATTATTGAGACTTTATAAGTCTATTAGAAAAAGATGAACATCTTGATAAAACAAAAACATTTTAAAAGATCATTCATTAGCGATGAAATGCAAGTGGCTGAATGCATATGAAAAATGCCCAAGACGATTAGTAATCCAGATTGAAACGGCAGATTACGACTTTGGCCTATTACATGGCCACAAGTGATAAAGATGCAACTATTCATTGTAGCCAGGGCTGGCAGTTGTAGATGAATAACCAATCATAGGTGGGCCCTGGGAGCACAGATTGGCTCGCCTTTCCTGGAACTGTCTGACAGTAGGTATCAATAAGCCCTTTGATCTAATAATTCAACTTCCATAGTTTTTTTAGGACTACTTATTTCATTTTAATTTTATTTATTATTATTGAATTTGCTATAGGACACAGATGCTCACCAGACAGAGAAAAAAGAGAGAGAGGGAAAGTGAGAAAGCAAGCTGCCAGGTCGGGGACTTAAACAGCGGTCAGTCAATTGGGAGTGCAGGGCCTCAACCACCATGCCACCTGCTGGCCCCCATAACTCAACTTTTAGAAATTTATCCTAAGAAACTAATAAGATTATTGTACAAAGATTAAGTATATGAACAAACACATAACAGCAATGTGTGCAAGAGAGAGGATTCGATTGCCGGTAAGGATCGGTGAATTAAATGCCGGCATATGCATCAGGTACAGTATTGCATGACTGTACAGCGGTGTGAATTGATACCTGCTGACACGGAAAAGTGCCACCGGGCACTAACGGCGCAGGAGGCGTGTTGCTGCACAGCAGGGGAATATCCGTGTACACAAAGGGAAGGCCGCGGAGCGGAGAGAGACTAAGTTAGAATGGTTTACTTGGAACAGAACTAGCGACTATCCTTACTGTCCTCATTGTTATGTTCTTTATCTTGGTGTTTCTTTAATAAGTTGAAACATACAAAGAAAAGAGAACATTAGATTCATAGGAACCCTGAGATGCAAAGATGGGAATCGCTGGTAAGGTGAAACCATGGAGGTAACGAAACTCCGTGTCTGGGGTAGTTAAACTTAAAACAGGCTTTTCTTGTTAACGTAAGACTTGTGTCGGATGCTTTCTGGGGGACTCTGTACTGGGGGATTCCATGATGCTCATCACGTTAAGACTGTCTTTGATGTTTGCATACGATTGTCATTCAAAGTAAACATTTTAGAAGTTAAAAATATCTTTTCCTTTCTCTGTATTTTTTTAAAAAGTAGATTGTGAGAAAATGAAAAAAAAAAAAAAAGCAGACAATTTTCTGTTGCCATAGTGAGGGACGACTTGGATGCCATAACCCCTGCCCCATGCTCTCCTGGTCACCCTCTTCCTGGCCTTGGGGAGCTTGAGGTTCCATAGCCCCTGACATGACCTTTGCCCTTCGCTGTGGCAGTGTGACTTCGGACTTGGCTACCAGAAGAAGGAACAGGAAGGGAAGAGCTCACAGCTCGATGCATAGTAGCCTGAGGGGCAGCGCCAGCTGGCTCACTCCCCCGGCAGGGTGGATATAGAAGCACAAGCCCCAGATACCTATTATTCATGCTTAGGTGCAAAGCCACAGCGAGGAAAGGCAGAACTCCTGAACCAGAGGTGAAGGAGAGAGGATTACACAGACCTGCAGACCAAGGTTTATTCCTTAGCCGAGCTGACTGCGGTTCAAGTCTCAGACCTGGAGGCTTGCTTTCTCACTTTCCCTCTCTCTCGGGTGAGCACATGTGCCCTATAGCGAATTAAAAATAATAATAAAGTTAAAATATAGAATTCTTGGGACCAGCAGATGGCATAATGGTTGCATCGCTGGACTCCTATGTCGTCTACTGTGGCTTGAGTCCTGGATCCAGAGCTTAAAACTCATGCCAGGTGTGTGTATGTGCCCAAGATTCCAGAAGGAGACTGGAGGAGAAGGGATTACGGCGTGGCTATCGCCCCTGGTGGGTGATTTCTTGCTTTCTGTCTCTCTGTCTCTCTGGCTAGCACATGCATCCTATAGCAATAATCTCTCTAAATAAAATAATAAATACAAGTAATTCTTTCAAATAAATATTCTGTAGGTAGGAGTCTATGCTTGCTGAGTGCACTAAAAGCATATCTCCGCCTCCCTGAATCTACTGTATTAACTCACTTCTCTCCCTCTCTCTCATTCTCTGCCTCTCGTTTCTCTTTTGGCTATACACACCTAAGCTGTTGGACAAGGAACCTAAGCAAAGTTTGTAGCGTAGAAGTCTTCCGACCCTCCAGTTCCGTGAGACTGCAGTCCTTGGCACAGTGCCTGGGAACCAGGCTTTGTAACGAGGCACCTGACCTCCCTGCCAGGTCACACCGCACCCTGATTACTGAACGGAAGCCAGGAGGACCTGACTGTGTGAGAGGACCGAAAGGCTCCCTCGGCGTTCAAATGATCTCAGAATTGGAGACTCATATAAAAGAAGTTTCTTCCTACTGAAAAAAAAGACATAAAGTCAGAAAACCAGGTGCCTGTTTGGTGTCTCAGAAATGAACTTCTCAGCTTGGCTGAGGCATGGCCTTGGTCTGCAGGTCTGCACGACCCCTCACTCCTTCACCTCCATTCTGGAGCCCTGCCTCTCCTCACTGTCATTTTGCACCAAAGCATGAATCATAGGTATCTAGGGCTTAAATTAATACAGTTTCTGTTTTGTAAATTTTATATTCCTTGATGTAAAAGCCTCAGGAGTTTAAAATACACACACACACATGCACTCACACAAACACACACTTGCTGCTAAGGAACTGAGAGGTGATGACCGTGCTAAGCCAAACATGAGCTTTTCTTTTTTTGAGAGAGAGAGATCTTTACTATAGGGTGTGTACCCTCACCAGAGAGACAGAGGGGCCAGCAGGTGGCGTGGTGGGCTCTGGACTCCCACATGGAGAACCACTGTTCAAGTCCCGGACATGGTGGCTTTCTCTCCCCCCCCCCACCCGGTCAAATTAAAAATAAATAAAGTGATAAATAAAATGATTCTTAAGAAAGACAGAGAGACAGTGAGAAATCACCCACCAGAGGGATGGCCACACCGCAATCCCTTCTCCTCTCAGGATTTTGGGCATGCATGCACACACACCTGGAATGAGTTTTAAGCCTCTGGGTCTAGGACTTGAACCATGGTTGACTACATGAGAGTCCAGTGAAGTGACCATTATGCCCAAACCTGTGCTTTTTAAAGTCCTGGTAAAGTTGAGTTTGTTTTGATCAATATCATCTTTTCAGTAAGATCAGACTACGTGCTTTTCTTCTAGAAAAATGGGCATCTTCCAGAATGCGTGTATATGTTGTCTTTATAAAATAATTTGTGTCTTACCCTAGTGACCAGGTGGTTCAGCTCAATATTTCACTTCCATGCTGCGCATGCATATATAACATTCCCCATTTATTAAGTCCGAGTCAGAACAAATCCTACATCACCGTCATACATGAGAAATACTTCCTTATGCATTAATTCACAGAGCCAGCAGAAACATTATGGTGTTCATCTGAAATTGTGTAAGACTGATGTTCTCAGAAGTTGTTCCTGGCACCAGTAACTTAGGTAAAACACATACTGGGATTCCTCTGAGAGGTTTGTAGAGTCTACTTGATAATTTAATGTGTCAGATCATCTCAAAGTGCAAACAGTATTGAAACCTGAGGCACCATATAGCGTGTGGCCTGAATGCCTCGGTAACCCTCACCTAGTTCTCAGGAGCAGGGCACCGTGTCAAACCTGAGTCCTTAAATGGACAGAGGCGTTCAGCACCTTTGCCCCATGCTTTTCATATTTGATTTCTGCTATTAAAGTCAGGCACTTACTCTTCCGTGTATATTCTCCTGTAAGAGAGAGGGGGAGAAAAGAAAATTTATGTAAGTGTACATATCTGAGGTAATATAGATTATAAAACAAACATCTCAAAAAAGTTATTACGTCAAGTAGTGAGTAATTCTCCTCAATGTCAAAGTCTGGTCATTTGAAAATGGCTCTCTCTCTAGTACACTGGTCACTTTCCAGCATTCTAGGTAACTCTTACTTAGTTTATGGTCTGTGCTCCCACCCTCAACCCTAAGCTGATCACCACGGCCTCTGGTCTCCATCCTTTCGTAACAAAATGAAGATTTTCGGTATGAAAATATCTCATGACTTCATTCCGTAAGAGTAGATGGTGGTTTTATAGTCAGTGACTGAGAAAACAATGAACGACAAACACCTAAGGCTGAATTTCATACATGGTAGCAGCGTTAGTAAGGTTTATTTTTATTTTTTTGATCAATCGCAATACTCTGTATCTATGCAATACGGTAGTGTGTGGAAAGCGGTTGTTTCTTGGAGCTTCAGACGCAGCATATGAAGGGATTCCAGAACCTCTCGGAACCTCTAGGTTCTGCTGAGCCCTAGACCTCCTGGATGGGAGTCAAGCACAGAGTTATGATCTCCTTAAAGTCAGCAGCTGCTGGGCCAGCAGGTGGCATGGAGGTCAAGGTGCTGGATCCCACATGGCTGACGATGGGTTCGAGTCTGGACCCAGCAACTTGAAAAACATACCGGGACCATGTGCGTTTGTGCCTAAAGCCTGAGAGGAGAATGGAGGAGGAGAGACTGCTGCGTCACCATCCCTCCTGAGCGGTGCTTGCTCACATTCTCCCTGTCTCTGTCTCTCTGTCTCTCACAAGCACATGTGTCCTATAGCAAAACCTACAAAAATTAAAAATAAAAACTCCAGCAACTGCTATCTTTTTAGGCAGTTATTAACTGCTATTTTAAAAACTGTTCCATAATGAAATAAACTGCACATCACCCCCTACCTGGTATTTCATTCCACTTATATTGTCACTCTCATATTCTTAAAAAAAATTTTTTTTCCCATTACCAGAGAGTGAGTGCACTGGCTAGAGGGAGATAAGCAGAAAAGAGAGGGAGAGGGAGAATGTAGCCTCCAATGGGGCGTGCTCACACTGCAATCCTTTCCATTTCTCCAAGCTGGCAGAATTTGGGGCACAAGTACATTGTGGCCAGCCTGTTTTTCAAACTGCCACAGCCAGGACTCGAACTGCAGTGGGCCATGTGGGATCCAGCTCCCTTAATCACTAGGGTACAAGGCTGGCCAAAGCTCATAGTCTT